TTCCCGGTGCCCTTTTAGCCTATTCTTTTAGTTTATTTTATTTTATTTTTTTCTTTAGGGCTTCTGCTGACTTGTGTGGTCCTAAGATGCTGCCATCCCATCACTTGACTTTGGGTCCGTGATTTGAATAAAATTAAAAGCCAATGACCAGCTCTAATCTGTCAATTTCTTGCAGTAATTTTCAATGTTAGAACCGAAACTTCCAACTGGAATTGCAAGTTGAAGACGAGTGAAATGGGTTGACCTTATAAAAGATAAATTATAATTATGTGTTTTATTTTTTTAATGCTTAATTATGAGTTATCTCAATATGATATTTATAGTAAAAGTTATAGTAAAAAAACTACAATATACTCAAACTGTCCCTAAGTGAAAAATTAATGCCCATTGTCCATTGTGCTTGTTTTCATCTTCACCTTAAAAAATGTAAATTTTAGAGAGACCAAATTTTAAAAAACACATAAAAATTAAGTTTTAGATTAAAAAGGATATATAAATGTGTATAATAAAATTAAAATCTTCAATAGTCATTTTTAAATTAATATACATTGGTTGTATGTACTACAATGTATACTTATTTATAATTCTTGATATTTTAGTAATCATAATTAAGAAATATAGTTATTCTGAATTATAAATGTGAATAAAAAGATATGTGTACATGTTATATTTTAGGTTAAAAAAGATATATAAATGTATTTAAAAATTAAAATCATCAATAGTCATTATTAAATTGATACAAATTGGTTGTATGTACTACAATTTTTATCTATTTATAATTCTTAATATTTTAGTAATCATAATTAAGAAATATATTTATTTTAAATTATTAGATCCTAATCACTACTCTAGTCACAAAATAATAAAATAAACATGAATAAAATTGTGAAATGTCACTTTGAATATAGTATAATCATTATTTCCTTAAAAACACATTATATAATTGAACTAAAAGTTAACTTTAATAATATATAACTGTAAAAATCAATTATTATATGGTAATTAAGTAGAATTTGGAAATAATTAGTAAAAAATTAAATATATTTAAAGTATTATTATATGAA